TTAATAATACAAAATTACTTAAGACATTTTGGAACACTTTACTCCAAAGGGTAAACAATGGTTCACTCAGTTCCTCAACAATGAACATCGAACCAACGGCTACTGGCATTTGATGAAGGGATTCTGTGTTGTTGGAGACTGTTCCATACATTTCAGGACATTAATAGTTCTATTCCCCAGGGCACTAACACCAGTATAAAGCCCAGGTGTTACAATAACCAAAACAACTTCAGGACCCTACCCACTTCCAGACTGTGCCCTTGAGAAACCACTGTGGGGGCAAGAATTCATTTTTTGATTTTTTTTTTTTCTTACCTGCATTTTCCGAATTTTCCTACAAAGCCTGGGTATTGCTTTTGTGAAACGGAAGCCACGTTCACTACTTTTTTAAAAAAGGAACAACAAGATAGCAATTTTGATTACAGTTCTCAGTTAACCCTATTTGTCCTTCCCCAACCAAGTTTGCTCATGACAGTTAAGTAAATAAAAGGTGACCTAACATTATTATGTGGATGCTATAATTCATTTTAAAGTCACCAATACAGGAAGGGTGCAATTAACTCAGCTTCTTACAAATCACTTTTATTCTTCAAGTACTTGTAATAGGTATGAGATCACAGCATCCTACAATTCACAGGTCAAGTACTGGATTGCTTCTAGCTTGTTATAAAACTTTAAAAGGAAGGAAACTGCCATGATTTGGTTTCAACACGGTGTTACACTGGCATAGTCTTAAGTGTCTTAGTAGGCATAGCTACTGCCACTCATCCCCGAAAGAAGGCCAGGTCAAGCAATTTTTTTAAATATTTTTTTTTTAGTTATAGATGGATACAATACCTTTATTTTATGTATATGTTTTTATGTGGAGCTGAGGATTGAACCCAGTGCCTCACACATGCTATGCAAGCCCTTGACCACTAAGCTACAACCCCAGCCGTGCAAGCAATTTTGATAAGTGATTTGGGGAAACATTGTGTTTTGTTCTATTATTTCATTTTCTCAGGTCCAAGCAGAAGTCAGGGTCTCAGTAATTGTTTATCTCAATATTTTTACAGGACTAGAAAACTAGCATTTTTCTGGGGTCGTCGGGTTTAGCATAATCTCAGAAAGGGGACAGTGATAGTTAAAAATACACATATACCCCTCCAGATAAAGAATCAGTGGTACCATATTACATAATATCCAAGAAATCATCAATTTTAAGCTACATCCTGATCCAGATGTCAAATCATGAATTTAAAAAATCTTAGAATCAAAACATCATTTCAGGGGCTCTTCAGCATTCTGCATGTTAAGAGTTCGTTTAATAAAAAAAAAAAAAGTAATTTTTTTTAAAAAGTGCACACTGCTGATGACAATTTTGACCAGTAGAATTGCAAAATATGTCACAGAATCCTTAAATTTGCATACCTTTTGACCCAACAATTCTGTTTTAAGGAACTTTTCCTCAAGAAAACCATTGTGCAAGTCCAGAAAGATAGACAAAGAAGGACAGCAGCTGCAGCATTGCTTATATTAGTAAAATTTAGAAACGTATTTATCTTAAGAGGACCAAGGGAATCAAATATGGTACTTCCTTATGATAGAAAACTAAGGATGCGGGTTGGGGCTGGGGCTCAGTGGCAGAGTGCTCGCCCAGCATGCACGAACAAGGCACTGGGTTCGATCCTCAGCACCCAGATTTTCATAAATGTAAAATAAAGATATTGTGTCCACCTAAAACTTAAGAATAAATGTTAAAAAAAAAAAGAAAAGAAAGAGAAAACTAAGAATGCAAGAAATCTGAAAGATTTCTGAAAAATGTTCATGGCATCATAGGTACAAATAGCAGGTTACAATCAGTAAGAAAAACTGCAAAAACCACATGATAGAAAAAAAAGCATAAAAAGAGTTTTGAAAAGAACTGAAAAGTGGAAAGAAAAAAAAATTTTTTTTTTTAAATCTCCTTAAACTTACATGAGTTTTCCTTATTTGGGAGAACACACTAAGTCCCCAGTATAAGGGAAGAAAACACATCATTGATACCTCAGATCTCTGAGGAGAAGGAATATTCTATAGGCTTCCAATGTGGTGAACAGAGGTGAATTGGAATAATTTTTTTTTAATCAGAACAGCTAAAGGACTATAGAATACTTTTAAAATTCTGAAGATCAACTATTTCCAGTCTAACAGTCTTTGCCTAGTCAAATTATGTGTAACAGTAGAATTCTGAAAGATGAAAATCTCAATTTCCACTTGCATCATTTCTTAGGTAACTATGAGCTGCTCATCCCTGCTGAGGGTAAAGCAAGTCAGAGTAGGACACTGACCAGAAGAGGTACAGCCTCCAACCCGAGACAGAGAGCACAGAACTTCAGGGTGAGGGTGCAGTCACCAGACCAGTGAGAGCAGGTCAGAGGCCCAGGGGGTCAGGCAGGTCAGGAGGATAACCCTGATAGAATACGGTGGGCTCTTTCTAGCCAGAGATTTGGACGACTCCAATTAAACCGGTGACTAAATATGTGGGGAAATAAGAAATGTGAAAAGGGCATTACTAACACCAAAGAAAGCAAGAAATTGGGGAGGAAAAGTGCCCAAGGTTACTCTGTGGCTCAGCTCTGAAGTGTTCATGGTATCATGAGTCAGTAGTGGCTGATGGTCCAAACCAAATCACCTGATGACCGTCCTGGGAGACAGGAAGGGTATTATGTAATTGGAGGTGGTCTGAGACAGTGAAGGCTTCAACTTTCAGAGCAGAAAGGCGGTGGGACAGTGCAGGCAAGCTGGGGGAAAAATCTTAAGCTTAGAGACACATTACACATAGAGTGCTGAGAGTCTTGAATATGGGTGTCTCTAGGAATGGAGAGCTAGGAAAAGATTTCTGCCTGTAGTACTGTTTGATTCTGAAACATGTCTATAATTATCTCTGTCAAAAATAAAAACTCAACCAGGTGCAGTGGAGCACGGGCACGGTTTGGGAGGCTGAGGCAGGAGGATCTTGAATTCAAAGCCAGCCTCAGCAACTTAGCGAGGCTCTAAGCAACTCAATGAGACCCTGTCTCTAAATAAAATATAAAAAAAGGGCTGGGGATGTGACTCACTGGTTAAGTGCCCCTGGGTTTGATCCCCGGTACCAATAAATAAATAGATAGATAGATAAATAAATAAATAAATAACTTGCCTACAGCAGTAATAAGGGTGACATGGTTTTTCCACCTTTTTCAAAAAGCTCCCTGAAATGCCAGGCATGGTGGCACACACCTGTATTCCCAGTGGCTCAGGAGTCTGAGACAGGAGGATCTCGAGTTCAAAGCCAGCCTCAGCAATGGCAAGGCGCTAAGCAACTCAATGAGACCCTGTCTCTAAATAAAATACAAAATAGGGCTGGGGATGTGGCTCAGTGGTTGAGTGCCCCTGAGTTCAACCCCTAGTACCAAAAAAATAAATAAATAAAGCTCACTGAAATCTAAAAGGATACATGCCAACGTGTCAACAATGATTACTTCTAGTGATGGGATTGTGAGCATTTACATTTCTTCCTTCACTTTCATATTGTCTGAAAAAGTGTGGCACAGAGAGCATATCGCGCATGTTGTCAGAAAACGAGAGGCATTTTATTTGATGCCTGGTGGAAACCCACCTAGAGTAGAAGCCCCAACTCCATGGTGTTGGCTTCTGTTTGCCCTGCTCAAGCAGGGAGACTGCCAGCTCCTTCACTCTCACTGCAAATATTTGTTGAACTTTGTAAAGTCAGGCCCTGTAAGGTGATTCCAATATTTTCAGCTTTTTATTGGGTCTCCCGAGTCTTTAGTACCAGCGAGGAAATTAGTTGGGAGGGCTAAGCCAACATCACTCAAACTTTCTGTGCACTGGAACACTTGGGAGATGGATTCCCTAACTCTAGGATGGGGTTTGAGCTGCTGGAGGAGCAAGCAAGCTCTTTGATGTACACAGGTTTCATCGAAGGTTTCTCAAAGGGACTGTCCAGGACTGTATATGTCTACTTTCTAGCTTTCACACAGGCTCAGTTCTGAATTCCACAGTGTTTAAACAAGTCTCTGAGATAGCAGAAGGAGTACTGGCCAGACAAATAGAAGGAATGCCCCTTAGCGGTTAAGAACAGAGACCAGGAAAAAGGCTGGCCCTGAGTCTGCATTCCAGCTCCACCCTCCACAGGCATAGTTGACTTCCTCTTTTAGGCCTTAGTTTCTTCACATATAAAATGGGTTTAATTAAAGCCACCTTTACCTTGAGGGTTGTTGTGTGGACGACATGAGATCTCTAAGGCATCTAAGGGATTTGATAACCCTGGCACAGGTGGAAGACTGAGTAAATGGTGACCACTGCTAACAGTTAACAGGGCTCCAGTCCTTTCTCAGCCATGAAGGATTGGCTGGGACTTCTGTCCTCAGTCTCCATGTCTAACAATGGAGGGGAGCAAATACATGCCCTGTCACCTGTTGGCAGGACCTTCTGAGCCCGCACCAGGATGTGCACAGCACCAGACAGGAGGCCCTTTAATTCTCAAAGAGGTTGATACGCTCAGATTTTACTCAGTGATTATCCACCCCCACTACCAGGGAGATCTTTAGAAAAAGGAAAAGCCCCCCTCCTTACTACCCCCCGCAATCTTAGGAAAGGTTTACTTTAAGGAAGGAGGCTATCCACGTGGAAATCAGGTGAAGGAGGCACCAAGTGTCCCTGACATGCTACACAAACTTGAATATCCACCAGGCATCCTGCTCCCAGCACAGATCATGTCCATTGAGAGTGCCCAGCAAACTAGATTTCTTCCCCCCTCCAGACATCGTGAGAGTCACCACCCTCTCTCCCCAAGAGACTGAAAGGATCTCCTTCTGAGTTTTGCACTTTGAGAAGAATCGAGGCTGAGTTAAAAAAAAAAAAAAAAGAGTTCCCCAAAGCCTGCCCGAGGATCTGAGCAGGTTCCACTGGAGAAGCACAGCGGGTGCCAACGCGCCGGGTCTGTCCGCCTCCCCCGCCCCCGGCCCGCTGGCACTCACGATCTCGGCCACGATGAGAAGCCCGGGCACAGTGCGGAGGAACTCTCGATCGTAGGCGAAGCTGCTGCTGGTGGTGGAGAAGTTCTCGGCGAAGGAGCTGGTGGTGGTGGTGACCGTG